ATTTATTTATTTATTTATTTATTTATTTATTTATTTATTTATTTATTCACTTTACATCCTGGTCATCCCTTCCCACCTCTCAGACCCACTCTTCCTACAGTTAGAGTTTTATAACGGCAACTGCAGTACAGCCACTCAAGGAAGACTGAAAATCCAAGCAACCTACTAACACAAAAAGGTTAAAACACACAAAACTTTAAACCCATTTTTCTTTTAAATTTTTGAGTGGAATACAATATAAAGATAAAAACTCTTTGTGTGATAGCTAGAATTGTAGAAAGTGACACGGAAAATGTACTTCATGGTTTTTTGTTGTTGAATTTTAAGATGAGAAATGACGGGAAACTGAATTTATTGTAAAACTGAATGTGCACACTGATAGCCATGTACAGAATACAGGCATTAACTAAAAGAAGCAAACATTCCTTATATTGCTAAAGGAATTTAGATTGAAAGTCAAATTATATAAATTTTTTAAGTTTCATCTACAGATATGCACAAAATTTCTAATAAATCAATAGAGCAAAAACAGCTCAGGATAAAAAATAATTAAGTATATTTCAATTTAGTATGGTGGTAATGTGAGAGAGTCGTAACTATCATACCCAATTATCACTGATCCTACATCAGGAGTAAATTTTAAGTACTTAAAAAATACATGTACTTGAAGATGTACTTAAAATACACACATACACAAAACAGATACATCTACACATGCACCTTACAGCTGAAGCTCTTAACTTCTGGCTATTCCTTCCCTTTTATAGATTTTTTTAAAAAATATTTTTTAGTTATTTAACTTTATTTTATGTGCATTAGGGTGAAGGTGTCAGATCCCTTGGAATTACAGACAGTTGTGAGCTGCCATGAGGGTGCTGGGAATTGAACCCAGGTCCTTTGGAAGAGCAGGCAGTGTTCTTAACCACTGAGCCATCTCTCCAGTCCCCTTTTATAGATTTTTTAAGTGAATATTTTTGTTATTCTCTCCCCAGAAAAAGGCATATGCTAGAGAATATCTAGTATACAGTTTTTAACATCTTAAATTTATATAGTTATATGTTCAGGTTTTTCTTGTTATTAGAACCTCATACACACTACAAAAGCACTTTGCATTTGAGCTACAGTCCCTGCTCTAGCATGTAATTTTAGGAAAACTTACCAAGCCAGATGTGATAGCACAAACTTTTAACCTCAGCACTTATGAGGCTGGTGCAGGAGAACTGTGATCACCCTGCCTGGGCAGGGTAGGGGTGGAGTAGAGAGGAAGGGAGACCGAGCATATAAATGTTATTCATTCATTCATTCATTCATTCATTCATTCATTCATTCATTCATTCATTCATATGAATATATATATATTCATCCACATATTCATTCATATGTAAATGAAGTTGTCCTCTACACACACACACACACACACACACACACACACACACACACACACACATCAAGTCTTCAACTTTAAAAGGAAGGGTTTAAATTTTTTATTTGAAACCTTATTGCTTTGACCAATTCATGCCCACATCCTATAAATCAAATTGATACTTTTACAGTGGTTCAATTTCCATGTTGCCTCAACTTAACCCTATTTAGCCAAATGTGCCTGAAAGCAACACAGGAATTCATCTTTGCTACTCCATCTTCCAGAGCTCAGGAAATACACCTGACACAGGGCCTTCCTCCAACATTTCAGAGCAAACTACTTCTTACACCCCATGTTGGTGTTGTTTTTTTAAACAAACTGTTTTTCTTAAAATTATTATTATTTGCTTTTTAATAAAGATATTTGTTTCATTTTCTTTTTTCTGGATGGAAGCCTGACTCTGTAACCCAAGATAGCCTCAAACTCATAGCAATACTTCTGCCGCAATCTCTTAGTATATAGGTGTGACCTTTCATGCCTGGTGATTTTTACTTTAAAAATAAATAATTATCAAAGACAACTTTGAGAAATCTTTATAGCTAGTATGTAACATGTATCATATTTGACTAAGGAACCTGTAACGGAAGATTCAGTTTCTTTAAAAACTCAGTTCTGTTGTGTAAATGTTTCTTTTTTAATCCCAAGTGTGGGATTTTAGTTGGGCCTTAGTTTGTCCACAGCTGATATTTGTCTCATGTGGGGCTTGATCTTTGACAGCTGGCAACAGCCTGCCATGTGCAGGACAGAGAGGGGCTAAGGCTCTAAGGATATAAATATGAGAGCCCAGCTAGAGAAAGTGTGGCGTGTGGTAGTGGTGTGTAGCAAGTGCCAGCTTGAAGACACCAGAGACAGAGAGTGTGGCAGCTTGGAGCAGACAGACTGAGCGGAGACCGGAGACAGCTAGCTGTATTTGCTGTTGATAGACTGGTAGAGCCCTAAACTGACCCTGAACAGCCAGGAGAAGTCTGCGCCCCTTTCTCCCCACTAACCTTCTCTTTCCTACTCAGAGTTAGGAGGTTGGAAGAGAAAGGCTTTAAGGGACCCCAAATAAAATAAGAGTTTAAAAAAGAGCATGACGGAACCAGCACCTGCCCAAAGAATGTCATTTAAAGGGAATATGTAAATTAAAAGTCAAAGAACAGCCTAGTGTAGTAGCTCTCACCTTTAATCCCAGCACTCAGGGAAGCAGAGGCAGGTGGATCTTTGTGAGCTGGAGGCCAGTCTGGTCTACAAAGTGAGTCCAGGACAGCCAAGGCTACACAGAGAAACCCTGTGTCAGAAACAAACAAAGCAACAACAACAGCAAAAGATTCCTCAAAAGAAAAAAACCTCAAATAAACATAAAATCTGGAGAAAATAGTTAGAACTGTTGAACACATATTATCCTGCAGTTTTCAAAACCTCCTTATTTACATAAAGAATGAGCATAACACCAATGTTGTAATTAAAAATAATTATGAATAATACCTACCTATACGAAGATCTCTTTGTAAAACATTTTTATCATAAACATAAAAAGATAAATACTGGAAAGTTCTTGGAATCTCAAAATAAAATTCTTCACTGAAATATGGTCTAGAGAGAAAAAAAAGCTCATTATGTCAAATAATATATTAATTTATTACCACTATTAAGTAATTTATTACTATCACTATTAAAATGGTACCATTACATAAAAGCATTCAAATTTCACTTTCAATAAACATCAATGAAATTATAAACTAAAATTCTTCAGAAAAGAACTTCAAAACCCCCAAAATTTTTCTCAATACTGAGTTTCAAACAAATTCTATGCAAATCAAGCAGAACTGAAAAGACCTCAGGTAGCAAATGAGTTCTAAACACAAAGCTTTTCGGAAGGTCTTGTGGACAGAAGATCTAGTATGCCTAGGCAGTGCTCACCTAAAGTAGACCTGCATGAGAGCCACGGGCAAAGACATTCACATTATCACCTTAAAACATATAATGATATAAAGCTGTATTGCTCACAATAATACCTAATATCTAAAATGGGTAATGCTACATAAAATATTTTTAAATGTTTTGGAAATATTTAATATTAAGCATTTCCAATATCTTTCCTGAGTTATTTTTTAATTACATATAATCAAATCTGATCTATGGAGCTGGTGGCCTTTGATAAATTTACAAAACCTATGTAGCTTCCACCCCAATCAAAATATAGAACACTATTAACACCTTACAAAGTTTCCTTATGTTCCTCATAGTACCCTAGCACATGTCACAAGCAACCAGTTTTGTGAGAGGTAGGGGTGGGGACCAGGGGCTAGAGCCTGGGGCCTTGCAGATGCTAGGCAAGCGCTTAGCCCAGCGATATTTCTTTCTTTCTCTGTATGTATGTGTGCAGGTAAGTGTGTAAGTACAAAGGCCAGAGGTCTATGTCGAATGTCACCCACCACCTTACTTTTTGAGACAGTGTCTTTCCCTGAGCCCAGAGCTCCCTCTTTGGCTACACTGCTGGCCACCTAGCCCCAGGGATCCTTCTGTTCCTAAAGGCCCAGCTCTTCTTCATGCCACTGCACACAGCTTTTTACATGGGTGCTGAGGATCCAAACTCAGGTCCCTCATGCTTGTACAAGTCTCAGCTACCTCCCCAGCGTCAGTGATCTGATTTGTGTGTGTCTGTGTGTGTAGGCGTGATTCAATATAGAGATCAGAAGTGGATGTCAAACACCTTCCTCCATCTACCTCTACCTTATTTTTTGACACAGGGTTTCTAGCTAAACCTGCAGCTCCATGATTTGGCCATACTGACTAGTCAGCAAGTTCCAGGGATCCTCTTGGCTCCACATCCTCAACTCTAGGATTATACCACTAGTGTTCCACTTTTTACATGGGTGCCAAGTACCCAAACTGAAGTTCTCAATGCCTTCCAGACAAACACTTTACTGACTGACCTATCATGGTTAGGAAAGGGGCTTGGGAGGCCTCACCAGCAGTTAATGGTTACTGGAAAGGGGGAAATAATTTTCTTCAGTGTGTAGTCATTGCTTAGCTGCACATGCTGAAGTAAAGAATGTTCTACCCAGGCCCATGCAAGCAGCCCAAATGAAACTCACTGGGTTACAAACATACAAAAACAAAAAAAACAAAAAAAAACATGAAAATGGAACTTTCTGGAAGGAGGTCAGAGAGTATAAATGGGGAGAAATGAGGGAGAGAAACAGAGTATGTGTGGAATTTTCAAAGGATGAATTAAAATAAAACCTATCTCTCAGAAACCTTCCTGTACCCTCTGCAATCACAGTCAACTGGGGAAAGTTCATTACCAAGTATATCCTAATAATGACAAAAATGGCTTTAACTGTGTTTTCCTGATAATTAATGGCGCTGTTCTCTTTTTTTCATGTGCCTCTGAGACATTTTTGTATCATCTTTTGTGAAATATCTGAGTTTTCTCATATTTAGAAACCTTAGTTTTTAAGGGTTTTGGTTTGATTTAGAGATGTTTAGAAGCAAAATCTTTTAAATCTTTTTAGAATTCCAAAGTATTTTCTGTTTTATAATTCAGTTATAAGAACTGAAAATCAAGACAAAAAGAAAAAATTCAGAAGGTGGAAAAAGAAAGGTCTACAAGGTAAGTTATTTTTAGCTGAATGGTTTTATAATTTATAATTGTAACTTGTAATAATTCACAAGTTTTAAATCAAGATGAGAAAGGGTTTTTACTACAGATTATTCTGCCCTATTTTAGAAGGAAAGATTAAGGAGCACTTAGAATCCAAGAATTATCTATCTAGTCTAGTTAGCTATACCCTTAAGTGTCAAGGCAGTAACACAGCTAGTTTAAAATTATCTTTCAAATCATTTTCTTGTTTTTAAAGGTGAGTAAAGAAATAAAGAAAACTGGTTTCATCATTTTCTACTATACAAACATTCAGAAAGTTTAAGGGTTTAAAAATATAGGCTAATTCTGATTATTTTCATATATGGCTACACATTACAAAACAAGTACTCAATTTATAGACAATTACTATTTAATTTGTAAACACTTATTACCTTATGATATAAAATTGTTGTAACAAACTGAAACTTAAATAATTTTGGTGTCAAATCCCAGCTGTGCTTTTAACTTCATTATGTGACAAATCATTCAGCTTTTTAGTGACATGATTTCATCATTCATAAATGTAAATAAAAACCATTCATGAATTTGTATGCACAAATGTGAAAAACATCAAGATTCTAAATCAATATGGTCATATGACTTGTGATATCATCTTTGAAGTATATTATTCCCAATATTTTTGGGCTACTAAGACACCTTTGCTTTTTTGTTTTGTTTTGTTTTAAATTATGAACTGATTTATTCTTTTTCTGAGGAGGGCGCACATGTGAAGTCAGAGAAGAATCTGTGGGAACTGGTTCTCTTCTTCCACCATGTGGGCTCTGTGTACTGACCTCAGGTTTCAGGCTTGACAGCTGGCACCTTTACCACTGACTGAGCCACCTCAAGGGCTACTTTCAGTTTTATATACTTTTCTTATGAAGAGTTCAGAATTGTAAGAACCAAATAACATAAAAGGGTATATGCAGAGGGGTATGCCTAAAACGTCAGCATTTTGAAGGCTGAAAGAGGAGTGAGAATTCAAGGCCAATTTGGGCTACAGAGCAAGACCCTGTGTGGAAAGGAAGAAATGAAAAGAGAGTGGTAAAGAGGAGAAAAAAAGAAAGAACAGGAAAGGAGGCACAGAGGGAACTTGGGAAAAAGCAGGTAAGTGGTGGTAGTGGAGGCAGAGAACAAAGTACCAAAACATATCCAGAAATCTAATGGAATACAATATAAGTTGTAACAACTATTTCATCCACTATGCTTGTTTCAACAACTCCTAGAATCCTCCTTGCTTTGTCTCTGAAGACTATCCTTTCAGCAGTTTGGTGGTGGTTTGGTTTTGTTGCCTTTTTTTTTTTTTTTTTTTTTTTACAGACTCTTACTATGTAGCCCTGACTGGCCTGATACTTGCTATGTAGACTAGGCTGGCCACAAACTCAAGAGAGATCTGCCTGCCTCCGCCTTCCAAGTGATGGGATTGAAAGGATGTGTCACGACACCTAATTTTAGCACAGTTCTGTATCAGAATTACACTCACAAACACTGCTACAAGGCAGAGGAGGCAAATAAGAATTTGCTGTGATGCTTTCAAAGGGTAATTACACTTTCAAAGATGAGAAAAAGAAAACTACCAAGGGCTTTTATTTCCTGATAATATACTAGTAAGTAGCTTAAATGAGGTGAGTATTTGTTCTTGTATATATGCAGAGGCAGGGGAAGGGGTGGTATAGGTCAGAGGTCGACATCAGGTATCTTTCTGGATCATTTGCCACCTTAGGTTTTGAGACAAGGTCTCTTGTTGAACAATCTGGCGACAGTGGCTGGGCAGCAAGTTCCTGGGATCCTCCTACCTCCATGACCCCAGCACTGGGAACTACAAGTGGTAGCTATTGCACTTGGCTTTCTCACCTGGGTGTAGAGAATGTCACACAAGTCCTCATTATTTGTGCAACAAGTACTGTTATCTCTCCAGCCTCAACTTGTGTGAGCTAATTTATTCTTTGGAGAAATAAAATGATGCACTTTGAGGAAAGCTCAAACAAATAGACAATATTTAGCCTGGAGAATAGACTGAAGTCATTATGACAGTTGTTTTCACACATTTAATAAGGTCACATAAAAGATGGATTAAACTTGATCCCTAGAAATCTAAGGGACAGAACTAAGACAACTAAGAAAAACATACTTTTTAAGGCAATGAAAAGCCACATTAAAGCAAGCACTTCACTGATGTCATTCTCACAGGCAGACAAATAAACAGAACCCAGAACTGAGCGAGCTTAGCACATGGTTGGATGTCATTTTAATAATCATTAACCAATTAAACATAAGCACTTTCTGAGTCAGAACAGTTCAAAGGCCAAGCAGACTGCTTAGGAAGCATGAACTTCTTGGTGACTAAAACATTATTAGGTAGATGCCACATGACCTCTTGCCAGAATTACTGCTAAGAAGCCTAATGTTGCCAGTTCAGTTTACTGCACATTCAAGGCCTCTTCAAATGCTTACATTCTGTAATTCTAAAAGTAAATTCATAATAGAATAGAAAGTCTTTAAATAAAAATATTAGTTTCAAATTAAGAAAGTCAACTTGATGATAAAAATCTGGAAAATACATAACACTATGAATATATACCATATGAATAATAAATTCTAATTTTTCTACCAACCTTAATGACTTTTCGACAACCCGGGTGCGATAAACTTCTTCCTGGTCCAAATTTATTGTGCAGAAACAATCTCGCATTTTGTTGGGTCCAAGATATGGCAATAAATTTTTTGCTTCATCTGTTGGCACGAAAGTTTAAATTGATGTTAAATATCTTTACTTATATCACCCAAAGCTTTTCTAATAAATTCAGTCTGGAATAAGGCAAAATATGAAATAAAGAAAAAACAAACTAGTGATCAGACAGCTCAAGGTGGTCTAAAGGAGACTAGTAAAGACTGAGGGATGTGGCTAAAAAGGGATGAGCCTTTCCTGAGAAGTCTATAACAAGTGTAGTTTTTATTAAAGGATAAAACCTAAACGTTTAAAAGTAAAAAAGACTGATGGGCAGAGCTGTGTATAGACATATGGGGCCATATTACATCACTGCATCTTTCTCTATGAAAAGGTACCGTCTCTCCATCCAGTCCCACCAGTACTGCCCCTCTTTCCTCAATCCGCATTAGTTTTCCTTTCTACCAGATTGCTTTTATCAACATGTAAATAATACTTCCCAATCAAAACAAACAAAAGAAGCAAATAACCATCCTTGATTCCACCTCTTCTCCCTTGTCAAACCTCTACCTCCAGACTCCCTTGTTGGAGGCTGGTCTAATGCTAGTTACTGGCCCTCTGTGTAAACCTGCCTAAGTCTTTATACCTGATTGGCGAATTAAACAGCCTATACCTGGGCAGGGCAGAATGGGGTAGGCGAGGCTAAGGTTCCTCGGGCGAGGAATCACACAGGAAGGAGAGAAGGACCTGAAAGAGAGGAAGGAGGAGGACACCATGTGGGTTAGCTCACATGGGTAGGCCATGTGGGCCAAGGAAGAACTCCAATAATGGTGTGAAACAGCCCAGATGAAGAATATAAGCAAGTACCATGGGATTAAGGATGAAAGGTAGTCCAACTGAGGAGGATTAAGGCAGATGGCACTGGACGGGGGCTGGGAGATGGATGGTGAGGATATCGAGCCAGTGTAAGTGAAATATCTGCCTGGCCTAAGGTAGATAAGGCAATTATAAACCTAACAGATGTCTGTGTCTCATTATTTGTGATAACAGGTTAAATAATACTGCCATGATAATCTTAGGGCAAATAATAATCAATGCTTTATAGCCCAACACCCATTTTACCATAATTTACTACAACACTCCCTTTTCAAAACTTCCTCAACGCATTGTCCCTCACTTTCTCACTTTCCGTTTATTCTTTGGCCCTCTCTAATCAGCTTCTAATTCCAATGGAACACTGAAAATGCTTTAGTCAAGGTCACAATGTCAATGGACGTTGCTTTACTAAATGCAAAGTTCAATCCTGCCCTTAGTATATCCACCCTTGCAGCATCATTTAACAGTGAACATTTAACATGCTCCCGTCTCTTGGATTCCACAACATACTATTTCTGGGTTTCCTCCTATGTCTTCCACTCTTTGCTCATCAGCTCACTTTAGTGCTGCAAATGCCTCAGGGCTCAGTTCTGGACCACCCCTTCTTTTTTCTATACACTATCACAGTACATAGTGTTAAACGCTTGCAGCTCCCAGTTCTGTGTCTGTGAGCCTGACCTTCCCCCCTCCATACTAAATGTAAATATTATCTGGATAGCCAATAGGTACCTCAAATTTAACAAGTCCTCCCCCCTAAAGAAAATCATATTTCCTTTTCTACAAGCTCTTCCCCTGCTCTACCTCGCTCTCATTATCTTCCTGCCACTACCTTACACAATTCAGTTCATTAGCAAATCCAGAAGATCTTTAAAAAGACAAAATCTAAAATTCGACTACTTCTTTCCTTCACCAGTATCACTGAAATCCAAGCTGCTGCACTTTTTGTTCAAACAAGCATGGCACTATCTCCTGCTTCTACTACTCTCCTACAACCTGTTCTTCACAACAGACGTGAAAAGACGAACTGCTGGGAATGGTGGTGCCCACCTTTATGCCCTGCAATCAGAGGCAGAGGCATGTGGATCTGTAGGTCTGAGGCCAGCCTGGTTTATACATAGTGATTTAAAGAACAGCCACAGCTACAAAGGAGATCCTGTCTTGAAAATAAAACAAGGTGAGCTGACTACCAAAAGTAGCTCTGAACTCTACATATATGCCACAGTATCTACACACAACCCATCCCTACACCACACATTTAATAAACAAGTTTTTAAAAGAAAGTGAGGTAGCTTCGTAATGGAAAGAACACTAATCACTCTAAGAATCTGGACCTCAAGTCTCTCTTATCTCTCCAACTAAGCATTCAGAAAGTCACTAAAGAACAGCTCTTGTGATGAAGGTTTGGGTTCTTTCTGCTTAAGTTCAGAACTAACAGCTATTAAAGACAGTATGTGGTAAAGTCTACCAGAAACTTAAGAAGCATTTATAAAAAAAAAATCAGTACATAAATAATTTTTAAAACTGTTTAAAATAAGAAAACCAAAGAACCAGGTGTGGTGGTGCATGTCTTTAATCCCAGCACTCAAAACAGAGGCAAAAGGATCTGAGTTTGAAACCAGCCTGGTCTACTTGGCGAGTACCATGCCAACCAGGACATAGTTAAGTCCCTGCCTAAAAAGAAAAGGAAAGGAAAGAAGGGGAAAAAAAAGAGTCAATGGAAAGACACCAATTAAATATTGAGTACTATTAAGTTTATCTTTGGAGACCAGAAAAAAATGATATCACCACTGTTTCAACTTTTATAAACAAAAGTTATGCTCATCTCAAGTAAATCAGAATCAGGGAATCTCACCTTATAAATGGTTACCAAATTAACTAAAAGGGGATGGTATTTACAAGTGAAGCAGTTCCCAACAGGAAAAATAGTAAGATATCAGAATCCTATCTTCATCTGAAGCTCACCCTTCCACCTGGGTTCTCTCTTCCCTATCCCTTCTCTCCCTCCAGGATTTTTTTTTTTTTTAATGAATTCTATTTTCACTGATCAAACTTCTTCAAACTCTCCTTCGACTCTGCATAACACAACGGATGTTTTAAAAACAAAGTTCATTGAGGCCATCCCACTAAGACATTATAATACCTTATGTGAGAGTTTGGAACATTATCTCAGGATCATTGGCCTGTTGTATTCATGCTAAGTACTATTTAAAAACAACGCTGCATAATGCGTACATAATCTACCCATCCCATAACCCAAGAGGGAAACAAAGGTTATTTTGACTGTAGAATCTAATGAAATGACATTGCCAAATATTTAGAATAATTGAAGGCCAGGTCTTATAGAGTATAAAGAAATGCACCCAACATCATTTTCTATAAAAAAAAGTTTTCCTAACATATTTTTTCACTATTTACCACTGTCTGAAGTTCACATAAGTTATGCTGAAAATTAATTCATCTAATCAATGTCCACTTTTCAAAATAATCACACTAATGTTTAATCAGTTATCATAATTTTAAACTGTAATTTTCTAAACTACAAGAGTGATTAACTGTCTGTTTATAAAGAACACTAGGCAACTGTTAGAGCATTAAAGCACATCTAAACAGATGGAAAAGGTATTAACAGCACACACTATATCATCAAGACACAAAATGCCAAAGTAAAGCACTTTTAAAGCTTGCATTTCTCACAGATGGCCCTACTGGTTCTAGGCAATTTTAGGATACAAACCACAAGCACTGAGCCAAAATAACCCACCTCCTCTCGTACTCAGACGCTAACCTTCTATAATTAGCTTCAGAACCTGCTTTGTTTAGAACCTTTAAGAACACTAATAATATTAAGCACTACCAAATCATATTATTGCCTTTCAATAACCACTTTATTTGGCCACTTTTTAGTATCTGATAACACTGACCTACCATCAGTTTAGGTAGCTCACAGTAAGCAGTCTTTGTTTTACTCTCTCTCATTCAGGCTTTTTTTTTAAATTTTTTATTAATTACACTTTATTCATTTTGTATCCCCCCATAAGCCCTTCCCTCCTCCCCTCCCAATCCCACCCTCCCTCCCCTTTCTGCATGCATGCCACTCCCCAAGTCCACTGACAGGGGAGGTTCTCCTCAGGCTTTTTGTCGATAGAGCACATTTAAATGTGAGGAAACCTGGTATAGACTATATAATTCACCAGCGGTGAAGGACCAATTTTAGGTATTTGTAAAGTGTCATTATAAAATCAAAGACTTTCTAGACCCAGTGGCACACACCTTTAATCCCAGCACTCAGGAGGCAGAAGTAGGTGGATGGATCTCTGAGTTCAAGGTCAGCCTGGTCTATGTAGTGAGTTCTAGGCCAGCCAAAGCTACAATGTGAGGCCCTCTTTTGGAAGGCAGGCAGGCAGAGAAATAAAGACAAAGTTTCTCAGCACTGCTTGGTGGTATTATTTACAACAGAACTTACTGTATCCTATTTAATGATGAGCAGCCTTAAGGAGAACCAAGCTACACCTCTATAAGACATGGTGAATTAGTGGTACATCTGTTATATACCTTTCAGTATTATAAAGTCTCTAAAGCTAAAAAACCTAAATTCTCCAGCCTCTCTTGCAGCTCTGTTTATGTTCCTAAGTTCCACTAATTTAAGTTCCACTAATCAGATTCACGCACTAAAAACCGGAAGACAGAAGAAAAAGGACGCTGAGTTTTGGCAGTTTCAAGTAGCAAGCACTGTCGAAAAGACAACCGTGCTCACAGCAGCACTTGACAAGTCCAAGTACCAGTCACAGATTTCATGTGTATTAAGGAATTCACAGGGCATCCACTTTACGGTACAGGCTATGGGAGGTCTGGGTTGGATCTAGACAGCAACAGTGATGACGAAAGCAGCCACCTGCTAAGGGCTATTTCTTAATAGTACCCATGGCAGAGTAGCAAGGTTCTAAGCAAAAAACAGTTACAAGATGAGATTTTGTTTGTTTTCTGTGGCATAGAACTCAGGGCCTCACAGGCATGCTAGGCAAGCATTGCACTACTGAGAACACCATAGCCCTTGAAATGTGACTTTGGAAGTCATTCCTGAGAATTCTACTCAGTCTTCTTCGGAAGCCTGAGAGAGAAAGGACACATGCACATAAGTGTGTACTGAGTGTGGAATCCATGGGACAATCTTGGGTGTCATTCCTTAGGA